ATATTTTAATCAACTAGAAATTGACTTAGTCAAATTAACTGATCAATTAAGACAAACTCGTCAAGAAAATGATTTTAATGAAATAGATTTGAATCAGTTAAAAGAAAAATTAACACAATTTGCGAACATAAACATAACGAAACATGTCGATGTCAACAAACATCACTAAGAGGCAAGAAGCAAAACAGACTAGACAAATTTAAATTGAATTAAGAATTATTATTGCTGCTACTACATAGAAATACCAATTACATTCCTTTGTTTTATTTTAATTCGTCTAGTCTGTTCAGGGTCTAACAGAATATGACAAGAATTTTTTGTGCAATAATTTACCAATAAAAAATCCGTATTGAATTATATTGGTGGATAGTGGTATGAACAATGAAGGACTACGGCAGACTGTGTCCTATCATCAGACAGCTAATCTTCTTGATTTAAGAGAATGAGCTTCGTACTGAGCGGATCCCTTAAGGCTAAATCTCCAAGAGTACTGCCACGAATAAAATCCTAGTTACACCACTACTGCTGAATAATTCTTGTGTGAGGAGTAACTTTCTCGTTCCATTTCAGTTTATTCTCATCTTTGATATCAATGAGAATGACATAGATTTATTTCGAGAGTTTATTCATGAATATTAATTATTGCCATTTTGTTTTTTATTATTTTCTACAAAATGTTTTCTTTTTATAAATAAATAATTAATTTAAATATACAAAACAAGAGTGATTAGTTTTACATATGAAACAAGATAAAGAGGATGAGTGTGGGTGTTCCTAATCTTTGTCGGAACAGCCACCCACATCCCATTTTATTTCAAACTGATCTATTTTATAATCTTAACAGAATAATTTTCTTTTTATTAGTAATTTTGGTCGATAGGTTATTCTAAGGTTCAACAGTTTTGATAATATTGTCTTAAAAACAATTTGGAAATGATAACAAATGAAGAAGATCAAATCATTTCTAATATAGAAGTGATAAACATAATTTCATCTTTTATACTTCAGATCGTTCAATATGGATACGTTGAACATTAAATAATCTTCCTGTTCACCTTGAAAAACATCGCTTTGAACAACGCCATTATACTAATTTTCAAACGTTTTCACTATACTTACTGACTTAGTCTTGAAGCTGTACTTCACTTTTCTCACTATTTCTGCATATTACAATGGTGTTTGTTGGAAAAAAACTGATATATTATTATGGATCATATATTAGAAGAATGTTGCACAGTGTTTAACTTCTGTTAGAGAACGATTTCAACAATTCTTTAGATCAGAATCATTACTGAACTGCTATTCCTTCGATCAGAGAACTCATATAAATCAATCTTCTTTTTTTTTTGAAAATATATTTCATTTTCATTGAGAAAACCTAATAAAGAAATAATAAAAGTACAACTTATAGCGGACCATAGAGTGCCGTTTCTCTCTTTACTATTATTTGTTTAAATAATAAGATATTCAAAACGAAATAAAACCAACTTATTTCTTTTAATTATATTAATGAACAGAAATATAAACATTACAAGTCTGGATTGTGTCTTCTAATTCATATGAATGGCAATTTTTTTCTTACACTGTATTTGTGAAATATTCACTTCTATATACGCTTTCTTTCTCTAGCACTTTATTGAGATTTCATACTGTTGTATGAGACGAATCTCCTTGCAGGTGATTCTTTTTTCATTTAACTTTTATTACTAATAAAATGCGGTGCTTCTACACGATATACACACCCTCGCCCTCACCCACACTTTGCGCTGTGCATGTGTGTGTATATGTGTTGTAGGGTGTGCATATCGTGTAGAAGAACCGAAAAATGAATTTACTATAATCCTTTCAAACAAGAAAAAGATCTTTTTTTTTTCAGTATACTCTCTTGCTAAGTCCAAAATGCAGAATTCTCACAAGAGTGTAAAATTAACAAAGAAAAAATAACAGGAAGTGATTATTGTTTTTTTTTCTTATAAATTCATCCAATCACATCCACACTCACAAGATATTTTGATTTCGGTTCGTATCGATTCTTGATGGATGTTGTACGCACCTATTGAATAGCAAGAGAAATGTTAGTCAATCGAAATTCTCAATCTCGAAACGGCAGATGTCGACATGCATGAAAATGTTTTTTGTAACATGTTAAGTAATCTTGAATCAACACGAAGAGCTATTTAACTGATATCGTCTTGTCAACTATATAAACATGAAATGAATATTACCATAGATGATATTTCGATTCTCTTTACTATATTTTTTGAGTTTTCAAACAAGTGAATCGCTCATGATGAATATTCATCATTTCAAGTATTGTGCTTAATGAAAATGAAATACAATTCGAGGAAAAGTATAATTATTCTTCGTTGATAAATCACTCCCATGGAATCAACCAGTTGATTCATTGGTTCTTTCCTTCCTCAACAACACTGTAATGGCTTCTTTGGAAAAAAAGAATGACAAATAGGTATGACACATTTTTGCGAAAGCCAAACAGATTTTGTTTCTTATTCTTCACTTTTTTCTTGACGTTGTCAGTGACAGTGCATATAATGGTGTGCGTCGTGTTGTTTCTTACGAGTTACTTATTCTAGTTAATATGTTTACATGGTTGGATAGTACTCATCAGCATGCATATGATGATGTAGGTATCAAGCAAAATTGAAGCACGTTTTTAAAAGATTTTGAAATTCAAAAAAAATCGAAAAAAGATGCATGAGAATAAAGAAGTGATTTTATATATTTATATTAAGTCCTGCTTAGCTTTTATTTCATACTATTTAAATCTAAAAAGTTATACAGCTCGCCATTGTTTTCTATTGTCTTAACATTCGTCAACCAAAAACAAAGAAAGGCTCTCCGCACTTATGCTTTTTAAGTAGTATTTGTTTATTGCTATTTATTTGTCTTCGAATTTTAGATACTTCATAGATAACATGTGAATTTTAAATAAAGCTTGCGTAGTCCATGTGGTAGAATGCAAACTGTCGTCTCTTGAAAATTAATAAACCGAATTTCGAAAATCTTACTTCGTTAACTCATAAAAATTTACAATGTTGAAGCAGAAGCAAACATTGGTGATTACATTATAGCATGAACTCGTGGAAATATTCTATCTAGTGATAGAAACAGGTATAAACTATACTCTTGTTGATGCAAACAAAAATTAAAATTTTATTTCTATACAAAAGAAAATAATTTTCTAGTTTTGTCTCGACTTAAAAACGAATCGATGCAGTCTATATTTGTGACTTGATCATTTATATTGCTTTTCAGAAGTATTTGATTCGAAGTCTCCATTTAAAACTGTCTACGAAGGAATGTATTTTATCAAAATAAAGCGATAAGCGAGCGGATATTTATGATTTCACTAGTAGAATTGTGAAGGGATCAGAAATAATTAACAGATATCATCACTAGTAGTTCAACATAAACTAACATTATTATGATGATTATAATCAGTGTAGTTAAATGAAAAAAGAACATATGGATAGGTGTTTCATTATTTAAGGTTTATTCTGAGAAAATCTTGCATTCCGAAACTGGCGGGTGTTTCGAGAGTTTACCCAACACAGAAATGCATTTCACGATAAAATGAATTTTATATTCAAAATCATCAGAAAAAGCTGGATATCATACTATGCATTTTACTGCAAGCTAGTTTTCGTGGAAATTTAACTTGTGATTGACTTTAGATATAATTCCTTTGGGACAAGAAGCAAGTGCGGGTTCGATTGCGATTAAACTATTTTTCAATAAAATACATGTTGTGATGCCCAGTTTTTTTAAAATAATTTTGAATATTCAATCGATTTTCTAAATGCATTTATGATGAAGAAAATCTCGAAACAATCAGAAACGTATCTTAATCGAGAAGCTCTATCCAACCATGAGAAAAAGTTCGAAAGTAAATCGCCACTTGATCATGGAATTATCTGCACGTTATATGATCATAAATACTTATTTTATGTTATTTAATCGTGGTCTTACTAAAAGAAATATAGAAAGAGAGTTGGAATTTTGTGGAAAAGACGAACGACTTCGACGGTTAGTTATATATGCAACACATTTTCTTTGTTGAAACTTTTTTGAAGGCCAACATATTTTTAACTAATGCTGAAATTTCAGATTTCTTAAACGAATAATATCATATATCAATATCATGGCTGCTGCTTTACCTGATGCACTCACTGATTCATCATTGCTTTCCATCATGGATGAATGGTGGTGTCCTGTATGCTCCGACCGAACAGAAGATGCTCCTCTTTGTCAGATGTGTCATGAATTACTTTTGCAATTGGTAGAGGATCTTCCTATTAATGACCAAGAAAAATCAATGATGCTCTATTCTCAATATATACTAAACAGGAAACAAAAAGATGAACAATTTGAGGTTGACCCATCAAAACCTACAAGTGTAAGCGCTTAATTTGTACAATAATTTTGCACATAATCTAATCTTTTTTTTCTCATTCAGGACAATGATCGAGCAATTTTAATCAATTCTGAAGCAGCCGCATCTCAAATATTGATGTCATTAACAGTTCGTAATCGTCGACATGAGCATGAATATAGTGCTGAAATCCTATTTAAAAAAATAATCAAATATTGTAGACAGGTATTAAGCAGTATTAACAATATCGTTTTTTATTTATCGAACAAAATAGTAGACCGATGCTAACTTTTCTCTTTTATTATTGACTTCAATAGTCGACTATTGAAGAGAAAATTGAAGTTTCCAATTTAACATGTAGAATATCATTAGAAAATGAGTTATTTAAATCGGTTAAAACCTTTACATCTAAGACAAAAAAAAAAAAGAAAGGCTATAAGTCAGATTTGAGTTATTGACGATTATCAATTAGACAGATATTTTCTAATGCTCGCATATCATTTATGCATCTAGCATAATACACATTTTGTCGACGATCGGTTTCCTCCAACACGTCAATCCATTGGATTCGGTTCATTCAATCAAGTTTCACAATGGCTACGAATATCAAATGTTGCACCATCATCTGAAAGTGATCGTAAATTACCATGGACAATATTTTCATCACCTGGACCGAGTGATATCCAACAAGGCGCTTTAGGCAATTGTTGGTTAGTAGCTGCTTTAGCTTTAGTTTCTGAACAGCCTCGTTTACTTCATCACATTCTTCTTACAAAAACAGTTAATAGCGAAGGTGTTTATCTAGTACGTATTTGTCATAATGGTTTATGGAAAACAATTATTGTTGATGATGTTTTTCCATGTACAAAGCATAAACATCTTGTTTTTACTCAAGCCAAACGTCGTCAATTGTATGTTCCATTAATTGAAAAAGCATGTGCTAAATTATTTGGTTCTTATGCTGCTCTAAGAAGTGGAAATATACGTGAAGGTCTTCAATTATTGACAGGAGCATCATGTGATTATATTGATCTTAAACTAGCGGACACTGAACTTGATAGTAATGTCATTTGGGTTCAACTTTTATCTTCTTGTGAAGCAAAGTAAGTCGAAAAAAAAAAGAAACTATTGTAAAATAAAGAGAGACGTCATGATTTAGATTATTGATTGGAGTATCATCAGGTGGAACTGGTGTAAGCTCAGAAGAATATGCTCGTGTTCGTATTCATAATAATCATGCATTTTCTGTTCTTGCTGCTCATGCATTCGATAGTCAATCATTGAGATTTGTGCTTGTTCGTGATCCTCATTCTCATTCAAATTATCGAGAAGATTTTTTGACAGAGAATATTCTCAAACAATTACGTTTAATTAATCCTGCGAATCATTCTACGGGTGCTTTTTGGATATCATGGCCACGATTTCTTCGTTATTTTTCATCATTGACTATTTCAACTTATAACAGTGATTATTTTGATATACGTGAACAAAGTAAATTTACTCGATCATCTATCCACTATGTAACATCTTATCATTTTCATTTACCGAAGTAAGTCTATTGTTATGTTAAGTTTTATTTTTCAATAATTTTATGTGATATCTTTAGGCCATCGTGGATTAATATAAGTTTGATACATCATCATCGTGATCGAACAACACGTAGTTCTCATACTCAGTCATTTGTTTTGTGCGATGTTGATGAATTAGCAGCAAATGGTACTATTGGCAAACGTAAAAGCATATTGATATGTAAACTTGGAGGCCATACATATTGGTCAGGGTTACTAGAAGAGGGCAATTATGTACTTGTACCTTTCTCAATTAGTTTCTGGCAAAATGATAAAGGAAATAGAAATTTTACTGTTGTCATACATTCACGTGTTCAATTGAGTTTAACTGTGAAGCATAAACCACCAACATTTCTCACTGATTGCTTAATTTCAGCCGTTATAAAAGATTCCAAAAAGAAACAGGTCTGTATGTTTATGTGTCTTGTAAACATATTGAATTTAGAAATAAATTTATTTTTTCAAGGGTAGAGACGCTATCTTTTATTCAACATCAGGTAAATCAGGATTAAATGTATTTATCGTCGAGAATTTATCGATAAAAGATTACCTAAATGTTGACATGGATATTCAAAATGCAAGAAATGTTCAACATTCTCGTCATCTTGATTTTTCTGATAGAATTCATGATTGTATACCACCACGATATCGTCAAGTGATATGTATTACAGAGTGGCTTGATAGACCTCGGGAATCGTCTCGTTTTAATTATTCGTATTCGTACATGCATGAAAAACAAGCGACTAATCCAAGACCACCAATTGATACTTCTCGATACGATTTTCATTCACCACGAGCTTTTTAATGTTGTATATTGTAAAGATAATGAAATGTTCGAATTCGATAATAAAATTGGCAAAAAAAAAACAAATTATTTTCATTATTGTGCAAATAATATAATTTCTTCATAGAGTTACTTGTAGATTTCTATATATCAGCTTGTATGTGTAACACGTCACCTCAATGAGCGGTAGTTCAAAATCGATATCTTAAAAAATCATTATTTCATGTTGTAGAACATAGTTGAAAGTGTGTGGCAAACACATTTTCTTCTTTCAATAAGTGCTTTGAAACGCATCTGGTGTTTGGTGTGGATGTGTGCGTATCAGTGTGGGTCTTCTCTTTACTAGAGCCACAATCTCACCCACAGCCACACTCCATCGCTCACACTCACACCCACACCCTTTACTTTACCTCTTGTATAGATTCCCATCGGCGCTCAAACTTCACAAGGGCAGAAAAGCATGTGTAGATCAATGCCTATGGAAAAACTTTCATAAAAAAATAACACGTTTCTTATTACAATAAAACGCATTCTTAGCCAGTAAAATGCGTTTCATGCTTTTCAAGGACATGTTCTTAACCGTTCTTTTTCATTAATAGTTTTTCATGAGCGAGCTTGTAGACGGATTGAAATGTGCTGTGGTTAAATCAGAGAATTGATTCGAATAAAGAGTCCATCTGGTTTATCGTTTCTATCGGAAACGATAAAAAAAAACTCGTACACCTTCGCGATCAACTTGCATGTACGGCGTAAGTTCGAAAAAAATTCAACACATCTGCGGGAGAACGAATTTCGATCTTCAGAAATTGACTTCGACAACACCCGCACAAACATATGCTCTACATTCTTCATTCAATTCACCCTTTTTCGTACATAAACAAAGTACATTCTTTTCTAAGATGTTCTGCTAGTCCTTTTCTATGCTTCTCAATCTACACCGCTTAATCTTATACAGCTTAATCTTATACGGCTTAATCTATACGGCGTAATCTTGTACGGGGTATGGGTGGGTAATGGTGTGGATGTGGGATGGTCAAAAAAAGTGAGATCCAAACTGCGTAAACTGCAAACTTGGAGCTCAGTTAAGGAACCACCTGGGATGCTATAGGCATCACCTGGGGCGGTAGTAGGATTACCTGGGATGCTAGTGGCATCACCTAATATGCTAGTAGCATCGCCTGTGATGCTAGTAGCATCATCTGGGATGCAGGAGGCATCATCTGGGATGCAGGAGGCATCATCTGGGAATCTACTAGTGTCCCAAGCGATGCTACTATCATCCCAGGTACTGCTACTAGCATTCCAGGTACTGATGCTAGCATCCCAGGTACTGATACTAATATTCCAGGTAGTGCTACTAGCATCTCAAGTGATGTATCTAGCATCCCAGGTGGTTTCTTAGCTTAGCTCCTAATTTGAAATTTACACAGTTTGGAGCTCACTTTTTTTGGCCATACTACACCCACACCCCACACCCACATCCATACTCACCCACACCCCGTACAAGATTAAGCCGTACACATTTTTATCTATAGATGAAATCGTGCGTATTTAGACGTATAAAAAGGACATAGAGAAATAACTTATATCAATGAAATATGTTTTTTTTTTAGATTTAGCCGTACTTTTAGTTTCTCTGAGAAATGGCGTGTTCTTTTTTTTATCATCGTTTCCCAGAGAAATCATAAAGCGGATTATATGCGAATAAATGGAAACCGTAGTTTCTATCTCAACTCTTTTCAATGCCAAAGTCTTCAGGTTATATGTGAGAAAAATAAGGCAAAATCGGAATTTAAGTTTCTCTATCATTCAAAACGAATAGCATTCCGTCACTTGATCAGCATTTATCGAACGAAACGAATATATGACGAAGTCTAGAATTAAAAAAAAATGCATTTTTACAAAGCGAAGACAAATGCTCATTTTTCGGTGGCGTTCAACAGAGAGTGAGAGACTATCGAGCTGATTTTACTTCACTCACATCAATGATTTTTTCTAAATTTTGCGAAAATATCAAACGAAACTATGTAGTGAGAAGTTTTGCAGTTAATTCAGCTTCATCATTTTCTTAATCTAGTTCTTTATTTAAAACTTTAGCTTCGAGACAAAACAATCAGTTGATTACTACTGATTTCGATCTTCGATGAAATATACATGCCGAGACCATCAATAATGTCATTATCAGCATTTTGAAATGTTTGATAAAAGTTCGATTGAACGGAAATAACCATGAATATAAATGATCGTATATCAAATGACATTTTTCAATTAAATTATTTATATCACCGTTCATTTCAAAAGCCACATGTTGAACGCGTGCTTCGAATACAATAGATTCTAGATAACTTTTTTGAACAAGTTGGTCATTCGTATTTGTGTAGATCAATTGTGAGAGTTGACTATTAAAAAGGATACTATCGCTAAGAAATTCTTTAACAAACTTTTCCATTCGACCGTGCCGGGGCCCATAGAGCAACAATGCATCGTTTGCATCGGTTGAATTGATAGTAACCACAAGTTTATTCTGAAATAGAATATCATAAACAGTAAATGAAATATATTTTTTAGAATTATTTACCAAGAAATCATGAATAATGGATAGAATTGATGATTATATTCGAATTCAATAAGAAATTCGGGTAATTCAAGTCCAAAATACCATGAAACGGATGCAAATGAAAAAAAAAAAGACTAGTCGATGTTGCATTCATCCATTGATTTGCTTGACCCCATATCCATGCTGACGGAAATGAACTTCCCCATTCTTTTTTTGTGTAACCCACACCCGAAACATTCGTCTATTCCTAGTCTCCAATCTTAACCGGTCCATGAATATCATGTTGCATGCTGTGCACATGATGATAACATTACAGTATAGGTATCCACGAGAATGGGCCCATTGTACCAGGTGCTATCCTTGATAAATCTGGCAGTGGCACATGGGAAGTTATGATTAGATTGAGTTTCAATCGTTCTGTTGCATTATCTTCATCTTTCGATTCAACATCTACAATTACTGTTTGCGATGAGAAAATATTCTATTTTCTATCACAATTAATCATGACACAAAATTCATTCGAAGATGATGCTGAAGAAAAGTTTTCAAATGGGAATCGAAAATAATGCGAAGTATTATCATAAGTAGCTAAAAGAAATGCGTGTCGATTATCATCATTCATACAGACACCAGGTATAATTGTAATTGTCTTATTTGAATTTTCGTTAAATACCAATTTGTAATACCATCCGTCGAAGAAAATCCCTCGAGTTATATCATGACCTAGATATTTCACATTAAATATTTTCCTATTGAACAAACAAACAAACAATTCATACCATGACAACGGTCAGGATAGGCAACGATTTGAGTTGAGTTCCAAAAAAGAATGATAAAACAGAAGAAAGCACTACATGCCCATACAAGAATCGGGCGTAGTAAGTCTGACATTTGCTTCGTTTTTATGACAAAGTAAAATTGAAGAACAAGAAAAATGTATGACAAGTCAGATGAATACGTTAGAATCACTGTTTGTTTAAGGACTCATACTTGCTATTATCTTTTTTTCGACATGAATCGAGACAACTTTCACCCTAAGTCAAACATAATTTTGTCAATCATGGCAAAGTTTCCTATCAAATCTTTTCTAAAAGTAGAATGTCATGTTTATAATATGTGAGTATGAAAATTTAAAGCAGATTTAAACCTCTGCTCTAAGTGAATTATAGCAAATGGATTCTATGTCTCATAAAAGTTCTTGAGTCAAAGATGATTTTGAGTGTAGAAAATTTCGGTTAATCTAAGATAATTAACGTTCGGATTATACTGCAGATGCTCAATTTAAATTCGCTTACAGAATTCGTAGTTAATCATCCACAAAGAGGCATATCATGCTTGATAAAACTGACGAGGGGAGTATGAGAGTCTCAACTTTTGTTTTGGGGGTGGGTGGGTGTGAATGAAGAGAAGAACCACACCCACCCTCACTTATAAAAATATATTGAACCAAAAACGGATTAAAACTCAAAAACTATCATTGAGAGTAACAAACAATCTGATTCTTTTGTCTGACAAAATCTAAAATGTTGATAAGAATCAATTATTGTTATAGAGATGTAATTAAATAATAGAATTTCACTTACAAGAATTAATCTTAATACATAAAGCGATAGCTAACAATTGATATTTATTTATCTCCTAAATATCAGAAAACAATACGAACATTGTTATTGATATAATTAGAACAAAATAGAATCTACAAGAAAGGAAAATAAAGAGTCAATTCTTAGGGATAGACAATTGCTTCTTCAAAAAATTAATCGTTTTATATTAGCACAGTTGCGCCTTGTTGTATTTCTTGTAAAGTTCTCTGTTATAGTCCTCAATTGATGATAACGTACTTGTATTGCAGTTAGCTGAGTTGCATGTGTCTTTGTACTAAGTAAAAATTGTTCAATATAATAATTATCAACATCCATAATGTCAAGTGACATAAGATGAGAATATTCAATAAGTGAGTAAGATGGAATCTTTTCAGCTTTTTGACTACCAAAATCGAATAACGGTGACAATATATTGACAATAGAAAAATGCTTCAACAATGAAAACGCTTTAGAAATTCGAATGAAGAATTCGTATTTAAATGGAATCGTGTCAATCACCATGAGATAAGTAACATAATTGAATATCATAGTTTGAAACTTATTGGTTATCTTTTTGAGATAATCAAATACGAACGGAACCGTAAAGACACTACATATCACTTTGCGAATACCAAAATAATATATATTGCAAACCTTTTGATGATAACCTATATTTGTAAAAGTTCATTGAATATCATTCTCCGATATATGATGAGTTGAATCATTGATTTCAATTTCTGTACTAATAAAAAATCTGAATGTGTATGAAGTCGTTGCATATAATTAAGAATTTCCTTATGAAGATGAGTATCATCAATAAATGGTAGCTCGATGATAGGAACGTACATACAATGTTAATTTTTCCAAATGTGACATTCAACGAAGTAAAGGTATCACTCGAGTGTCATATGCTTCAGTTTCATGATAACATATTAATGAGAAACATTTTAAATTAGGTAGATCATCTTAGAAAATAAATATATGTTTAGAAATAAAATCTATCAACTAACTATAAAAAAAAGAAATGCACATGAAATATCGATCAAACACAATATTATTCATTTTTAATTGTCTGAATATTTCTTATATTCATTCAAGTACATATTTTTTCGTAATGATATGTAAAACAATCAGTTTACTTTTCTAAACTTTAATCTTATTCATATCTTTATTTATTATAAACTAAATATAAATCTGTTATTGCAATCCTTGTAAGATTAAAATGTGAAGCACGTTGTGATTATTATTGTGAATTACGTGAAATTTCTTTCATTCGATTTCTTTTAGGATACATTTCTTCATCATAGTTTATTTAATCCTTTAGAACTGCAATAATTTTAAGTAGTTCAGATGTTCTTATGACATGCTACTCATATATGATCTGTGATGGTCTCAGGAGGCCATCTGTCACGATCTGTAGAGGAAGAGGGTGCACATTTCTACCCCTATAAACTCTAATACTCCTTTTTGGATTGTGTTTCACAAAAGTTGATAATTGAAAAGATAATAAACATAAAATCTTTGTTATGTTTATATCTCTTTAAAAAAATAGTCTTTTTCAACCATTGAATTAAATAGTTAATTATATTAAATAGGAATTGTTTCTCAAACAACTTAAACTTACAGGAAAAATCTATAATTGGTATTAATAATTTCCTTAAAAGAAATCACTGATACACTCTATTTACTTTTATAGCAGACAAACGGTACATTAAATAATTGATTAGCTCAAGTTTATGATTGATATTAGCCATTTGATTGAAAAAAATTATAAAATATAAACTTATAGTCTTGTGAAAAATCGATGAATTACTGTTGATATCAAAAATTCGAACATTGAATGTAATTATTGTTTAAGACGATCATCAAGTAAATAAATACAATCATCTATACTAAATACATTGATACATAATTTTGTAAGAATCGAAGAGAAAAAAGTAGTTGATGGTAAATTATAAACTGACAAAGGTGGATAATCAATAATGGACGTTCCAATAATGCTTAAATGTTTTAGATTTTCAAAAAAAGTAAAGATATTTCAATATTTTTGTTATTATTATTTTCAATAATAAATTCTGTTATTTGATATTTGAAAATATGTTGAAAGATTGATTTCCTAAATAAAAAATAAAAAATAAAAACAATCAGATAAAGCGTATTGTTTTCTTTTTAATGCTACTATATTTTGATTGTTTTCCTTCTGTAAAATAAGAAGAAACGATCTTATGTCGAAAATTAAACAATTTTAGAGAAGTTAAATTTGTATAATTGTCAGCAAGAAGAATACGTTCCATAGACATAGGTTCGAGGATAAGATTTTTCACATTATGATGAATTCTTGGTAATATATCAGTAGATAATCGATCAAGTACTGGATCATCAAGTGAACAAATATCATTATCAGTTGATGATCTTATAACTAAATTGAGAGTGTTAGTGAAAACACTCTCTTGCAATAGAATGTCAAATTGTTCATTGAAAACACCCATTAATTAATATAAAACATAAATATTGTCAAGTTTTTTTTCAATATAATTAATAAGTAATATCTCATTTGGTAGATCAAGAAAATGGAAATTCGAATGATTCATACTTGTTTCAAACTATGCATTATCCTCTTATGAAAATATGAATTGAATATATATGCTCATTATTATGACTGTCATTGACGAATAGAATGAATGAACTTTTTAGGGAAAAAAAAGTGTAGTACAAATGCATAACTATTTCGATTATCAAGGAAGGTCTGATTGTGGGTGTGAGTTTTTCTTCTGTTTATCCTCACTTACATCCACACCCACCCACACACCCTACCCACGCCAAGGCAAATATTCATCGAGAATACCACTCTAACTATTTTATGCGCGTCATTAGGACTCTTTAAAAGTCATATTCTGTTGAATCAAAGTAAAGGTGGTCGCTAGCAAAATTTCTTAAACGTCCAATGGGCCAATAGTTTGATTTTATTCATAATGTGATTATTCCTTACTTCAGTTTATTTTCATTGGTGGATTCTGCTAGACAACTCAAGTTTCATTTACATCCATGGGAATAGAAATCAACGATAATTAATGGTTATTCATAAGTCTCGTATAGACGTTCAGCTATAGTGCAGGACATGTATTTTCTCTAAAGTCATATGCGTGCATTTGTTCCAGTTTTTTTTTGAAGATATATAAATTATTTTTTAGAGTATACAGCATCTTTATGAGAATAAGTGATCATTAAATCAAATCTGATGTGACTTGCTTCTTGCTTGGTTATAAATAGTTCTCTTGTTATTTCTCTCTGCATTATATCGATTAATATAGGGTGTGGGTATTGGACAAGAGAGGACTGATACCCACACCCACGCATCTCAATATGCAATTCTTATGGAAGTGGTAAAGAGACGTTAGGTACCTTAACTGGTAAAGCAGCCAAACGGTTATTGGAAAATATAGGTTCCATTCTTGTCCTAGTTGTGTGATCCTTTCCGTCTAATCTTTCGTATTAGATAGAGCATGTCTACTGTGGATGTTCAAGCTAATTTGAATGAACAGATCATTTCTTTGAACAAGTGAGATAATGGAGAATAAACTTTTAAAGATTCACAGACTTGCTTTCTCTTTTGATTTCACAATAATAATCGAATTCACTCTCACCCTTAGTCATGGACGGCACACCAGCAAGCAACGAGTTAGCAATCACTTCCCCTAAAAAGAATTTGGGGAAGCAATACAAGTTTATTGCTTCCCCAAATTGTTCATGTTTCATTCGTATGTTATTTCTCCATGTTTTCTGAACTTTTGATTATCAAGTAACTTAAATTTGTACTTCTTTCTGCTTTCATCCATAATCACCGTATACGGACTCATAAAGAGATCAACTAGCTGCTAATATAAATAGTTAAATAAACAGTTTCAGTGAGAAGACCGCAATATTTTCAATTGATTCTTATGTTTACAATTTCATCAAGAAGGAATAGATGTTATAGTGGCAGTCTTTTACATGAGTATCAACTCGAAAACCAAATGGCTGGTGAGCGGAAGGTAATAACAAAAAAATGTCGAGTTTTGCTAACTCGCTCTGAACACATCTGTTCTCAATAGAAACGTTACACTACCCTCAAACGTTTAAGGTCTCTCTCTTCAAAAATCGATTCCAGGGCCAAGTACATTCAAATGGTCTGAAATTTTCGGATCACGTTGAGACTTAACTGGAGACGCTATTGTAAAACTTTCAGCCTTATATCATAATGTTTGATAGAGATACGAACCACACAAGGGCAACGATAGCTCATTTCGCAACCCATTTTTCTCTGTTCGAGCTCTTTCAACAGATTAAAATTCTTTTTTGTTTGAAAGAGCATGTCAGGACGTAGGGCGCCATAGAGTCCTTTTTTTAAAATTCTTACTTTTTAAGCAGAGAAGAGAGATCACAAGTTCAATAATTAGAAAAACTCTCTAAAAAGGGGCGCCATTTACATAAGTGTTTGTATATATAATAAAAAACAAAACTTAACTAAAAAACGACTCTGTGGTGCCCTTCATTTTGACGTGCTCTTTCAAACAAAAAAAAATAAATAAATATATTGAGTGAGCCTGGATAAAGAAATTTGTGTTGCTCGTTTGAATAAGTATAATCTGAGAAAAAAAACGAAAGACATTTTCCGGTTTTTTCTGAAAAATCCTGTTTTTTAAGAACTGGATGATAAAATTGATCAAAAATTTTGCCTCAAAACGGGATGTCGATTTAAAAATCATGTTGTTACCGAAAGAGCAAAACGCGGGCTATCTCCGCATGCATTGATCCCAGTTTTCGTGTTTTTGACAAAAATTGACTTTTTCGGAGGGGATAGATCTCAATATACTGTCAAATAAATTAATACACAGGCTTCAGATACTATGCCTTTGACAAATTAATTTCGAAAAAAACTTTTACTGCCGAGCTTTGAACTACGACTTGGAGGGGAGATATAGCCTCATTCTAAAACTTATTGCTTCCCCTAAAAAATTAAGTTTGCGCCGCCCATACCCTTAGTGGGCATAAGTTTTTCGACTGATTTATATAGAACTCATCTATTTCATTGAGTTAAAACGAAAATGAAGGGTTTACAACGTGTTCTCTAGATGTACGAAACTCAGCAAAACGGCTCTTTTGGCTGGATAAGTGGTTTTTCCACTAGGAAAATAGTTGAGTGTAACCTTATTTCCGTAAAAGATAAGGCCGGAAGTTTCATCATTGAAAACAGCGTACAAAACTGCAGTCAGCTATATGTGTCTCAGCCAATGCGTGAGTGATAAAGGTAATGATGGTGTGTGCTATATGAATTCACTCTACATGCTCTCGCTGTTTTGTCTTAATTCTCCGGTTTTAAAGCAGGGTAAAAGTTGTGCCAAATTTTGTTTCTACAAATCCAATCTTGCAATAAGATTCATATGCATCTGTATCGATTTAGCTATGAGAGTTTGTGTGGCACTATTAGACTCAACTATGTCGATCCTATCAAATTTTGTGAGCGCAAAAGACTTGTATTTAAAAGCAAAAAAGACTAACAAAAACTGAAAATGATAAGTTTCGTATCATCAAAAACGAAGTAATTTATATAATTAATGCGCATTCTTTAGTTTCGAGTTCATGT